TCCTCTATTTGATTAGGCGGAATATAGTGAGTTTGAGGTTCCTCATTCCACTCTTCCTGTAGTGGTTGTCGCTGTGTTTGGTCAGTAAATGTTGTATTTACAATTGGAATATTAATTGGTTTACGCTTGTTTGATGCTAAATTTAAAAATCTCTGTAAAACTTGATTGTATAACTTCCACTTCTCACTATCATCGAATCTTTTATTTTTCATGATCTCTTCCATTTCATCATCCAAACTCTTATACGCTCGTTTAGCTGACTTTTGGCTAGAATCAAATGATTGAAATTTGTCAATCAATTCTTGTGGTACAATAACCATTTTTCTTGCGTGTTCCATTATACCCTGGTTATGTTCATCAAAGCTTTCCGTTCGGAGTCCAGAAATGGAATGATCAGAATTTTTTACGTTATGAGATTTTTATCTAGTGAGATCTGATTGTGCAACTGCTTGTAATACTGTGCTCAGTAATAATGGAATGATAAATCCACCTCCTTGTTGAACTAAAAACTTGCGTTTTTTGGCCCATCCTTCGCCTCGTTTCACAATTAAACGAAGGGTAGACTTGTGTTTACTCAACTTTCTTTTACTTATATCCGATATAGGTACATTACCACGCAACAAATTGTGAACACACTCGCATATTGCGTGAATGCGACTTATATCACACACCTTCAACAGTGTTTTGCGCTCCTTTGGAGTTGCATGTATTAAAGCCTCAAGTAGAGCTCTGTCCTTCTTCAAACACACCATGATGACAACTAAAGTGAATGGAGGTGTTAGTTTTTCTTATTTTTTGGTATGTACACAAAATTTTTTTCATCATCGGGAAAAATACAACTCTGTATTCGCATATCATCGGGTGTTGTTTGTTTCAAGTCTATGAGTAGATAACCATGTGGTTTACTAGTAGCATCGGTATATGCTTCCTCTATAAACTTTGGATTTTCAGGATAAATCTGTCTTGCTAAACACCTAATCTGCATTTTATCCCTAGGATTTTTAAAACAAACCAGATAGTGAGCATTTAATGATATGTCTCTCTGTCCCCGCCCCTGGTGAAAAATATTTTGAGTTATAAAAAATACACTTATATTCCTATGATGACATCCTTTGGTAAATAGATCAACTACTGTATTGTTTGCTTCACGCATCATATCATCTATAACCACAAGAGTTGGATCTTTACCATCAAAGTCTTCTAAAATAGGAAGACCTTCTATGTAATTTATATTGGTAGCTTTTGTATTACCTACACCACCTCCAGTACCATAATACCAGGATATCTTAACAAATTTTGTATCACTCATTTCTCTTACATTATCAATAAACTTTGAAACAAATACTGACTTTCCACTACCTGACGGTCCTGCTACAATGGTAGAGAAAGGATGTGACCACTTCAAACTCATAATTGGTACTGATACCAAACACCTTCCTTAATACTTAAGTATAATATTGGTTGAGGTTTATGTAAATCAATACAACTGATTATATATTATAATGTTTAATGCTTACGAAAACTATCAAAATGTATAAAGGTTATTTAAACATATTTCTAAAAGTTTCTTGCTTTACATTAGAATATTTACACAAACTCCAATGGAGTGAATCTGCTACCTCCACGGGCTTCGTGCTTCACCAAGCGAAGACGGTCACCAAACCCGTTGTTGTAGCGTTCGATGTCTGAATCGCCCAGCGCAGCGTTGAAACGTCTCGGTAGATACACGCGCAGATAGAAGTCGTCTCCGGTTTGGCCCTCCAGGATCACAACGACTGTCTCGCCGTATGGAGATTTAACCCTCTCAATCAATGTGATTAAATAGGGCACTTCCGCCAACAGGTCGCCAACTCTGGTGTATGTGGGGTTGTTGGACTTGCATGAGTTGAGTGCGTCTTTGAGATCCATTGGTGCGGCTGATAGCATCGATGTAGTGGACAGCATGGACTCTATAGGTCTAAGTGTGACGTAGGAAGTCGGCTGCTGCTGCTGCTGCTGCTCCTGCTCAATGCTCTGTGGGATGACAGTGTCCATCTTGTAGAGGTCTGATCTAACTGACTGGTGAACTAGCGAAGAATGATACTCACTGTGAAAGTGTTCGGCTTTTTAAACTCGCCGATGAAGGGGAGGGGATTAGGGGTTGTATTTCTGGCAGGTGTGTAGGCAGGTGTTCTGGGCAGGTGTGTAGACAGGTGTGTAGGCAGGTGTTCTACCATGATTGATCACTCAGAGGTTTCTATGCATCAATCTTTTGTTTTTTACGCACTACTCGCTTCTTATCTGATGTGTTGAGACTTTTGCAAGTCGTAACTGTTTGAGTTAAACCTGGAAGTTTTGGCACTCCTGTTGTTTTGTCTATCCACATGTTTTCTATTTTTTCAATCACTGTATTAACACTCTCGTACATTTCACTGTCTTTGTCCAAAAATAAACCGCACATGTACTTCATATTATTACCGTCATACAATTCCATTTTTAAAAGTAGAGAACCTTTGTTTTCTGGATTTTGTACTGCGTACATATTGTCTTTCTCCACCCATGATATTATGGGACAATTTGCTGGTGGTTTAGGCACCCATCCTGACTTTTCTGCAATGGTTTTCGGTAACGATCTTTTCTTCCTTTTATCATTGATTGCAATTGGAGTTTGGGTAGACGCGTTGTCGTTCAATCCATGTTCTTCCATGAATGATTGGATATATTCATCAATAGTTTCGGATGTGGAAGCAATGTTCATTTTCTCTGTTGCGATGTGTACTGTGCAACTGCTCTGCTTCAACTAACCAAACGTCGAGTTATTAGTCCTCGATGTGAGATTAATTTTACAGAGGTACCAAACTAAATATTTTTAACATAATGTATGATCCGCAGGGGTACCAAACTAAATATTTTTAACATAATGTATGATCTGCATGTAAACACTCTTTTATATGTCGCATCCTTAGCAGCATATATTTTTGCAAAATTGTTTCAGTTTGTAATATTTTGAGCTTAAAACGGAAGCTGTCTAAATAAGAGAAACACCTTCTATCTTCGTAATCGGTAAAGTAAAATACCGTAACAATAGGATTTGTAAAAGAGACACTCTTTTTCCTACATTGGTTCATGTTTAAATCAATTACTTCTTTCGTTTCTGTTTTACGTTGAACTCTTCCTCGTAGAATGCTTCTCTCGCACGATCGAGAACACTTTGAATTAAAAGTAACTTGCGCATATCCTTATTTTTACGGTTGTATCGCCAAAATTTATTCATTGAAACATTTATTACTTGTCTCGCACTCTCGTTCATGTTGAATAAATAAAACTAAATAATTCAATATATAGTCGCTCCTTTTAGTACACTATGTTTGGTAGTAGGGGAAAGTTGGTGGGGATGGTGAGGAAGGGGTGTGGTTAGAAGGAGACTAACCGAGTTAGGGGGATGGGGAGGGGGGATTTAGTGCTAAGCTTTGGGAGATTCACTTGGATCATTCTTCTTTACAACGCCGAATAGTAGCTATGGCTCAATCCACCTTTGCCACAGACATCTCCGACAAACAGTTGCTTAGTGCTTTATTTGCTGCTGAATCGGAGTATGACAGAAAAATATTAAAAACATTATCATTTGAGAAACTAATTGTTGAGCAACAAAATGTCGATGACAGTATTGTCTTTAATTGGAGCGGACAACCCAGAGACGAAGCCCAATGGGATGAATATAATCGATTCATGCAACATTATAATAATGTCCATGCGGAACTCCGACAGCGAGAGGAAGAACAGAACCGTCGAAATTAGTTTTAAAATAGATGTTAAGATGTACTGTACGATAAAATAAATGTAAAAAAAAAAAATATATATAAAATGCAAAAAAAAATAAAAAAATAAAAAAAAATAGAAGCATGAAATATAAAAGTGAAAAAATATAAAAACATATAAAAAGCTAAGAAAAACAAATGTAAAGTGACACATTGATAATGAATATGGATTGATGGATCCATTGTGTGACAAAACCTATTGGGATTAGTGTGGGAAGCCCTGAGACTAAGTATTCTCACGGAATTAAAAAAAGGGGGAGGGGAAGGGGGAAGGAGTCAGGAATTACATGTGGACAAAGGAAAATGGAACCTTAAGTGTCTGCCAGATGTCCACACAAAAGGTTGAAAAATTAAATTATAACAATGGGGCAATGGAATGTTTATTGTTAAGTGCCAGATGTTCACACAAAAGGTAGGGCCAGATGTCCACACAAAAGGTTGAAAGTTAAATTATAACAATGGGGCGATGGAATGTATATTGTTGAGTGCCAGATGTTCACACAAAAGGTTGGAAATATAAATCATTGACAATAAGACTAGAAAAAGATTAATGGACACCAGGTGTCTATTTGTAAATGTCATTTTTGATCGGATAGAGACGATGGGTGGGGGGAGTTTATAAATTTACTTAATAATAATTTATATTATCATTTGCATAAAAAGATTTTTTAATTATTCATTTAATTAAATTGCAATATTTAATCACTTTTAATTAGCATAATTGGAGTAATTAGACTAATTACTCTAATTAGAGTAATTACACTAATTAGAGTACTTACACTAATTAGAGTAATTACACTAATTAGAGTAATTACACTAATTAGAGTAATTACACTAATTATCCACCGCCTCCACCCTCCCTACTCTTGTCCTTTAATCACTACTTGCGTTGATGAAATGATGGTGCCATTTCAAGGTACGTGTGCACTGAAACAGTACGTCCCCAATAAGCCAAACCCAGTTGGACTTAAAGTGTTTGTTTTGGCAAACCCAAATGGGGTGATCTGCGATTTTAAAATTTATCAAGGAAAAAATACTTTTCCTGAAGAAACAAGCCAAGGATTTTCTCTTGGGGAAGCAGCAGTGATGTATTTATCTCGCTCATTAGTTCCTGGCCATACTTTGTATTTTGATCGCTACTTCACTACTACAAAGTTAGCAGATGCATTGCTTGACCAAGGTATTCGATGTTCTGGTACCATAATGAAAAATAGAGTACCAAAAAATACAGATTTGGTCCCAGATAAGGAATTTAAGAAAAGTGAAAGGGGTTCCAGTCAAGTGTCTGTACGGGAAGATGGTAAAATGGCAGTCACTAAGTGGCTGGATAACAAGCCAGTATCTATGCTGTCAACCAGTGAAAGCAAAGAACCACAACATCAGGTAAAAAGGTGGAACAAAAAGGAAAAGAAATATATCACTGTTAGTCAACCGGCAGTGATAAATTCCTATAACAAGAATATGGGGGGAGTTGACCTGGCGGACAGAATCATGTCGTACTGCCCTAACCGCTCCAAAACTAAAAAGTGGACTATAAGGTGCATAATGCACTTTTTTGACCTTGCAATGTCTAATGCATGGCTGCAGATGAGAGAGTTCAAGAGAAGTCAAAATGTCCGCCCAAAAGACATCCCCCAATTCAGAGCTTTTAAACTGGCATTTGGTGTACGCCTGATCGAACAAAACCTTCAGGATGATAACGAAAGTTGTGGATCTGAACTTGAAGAATGTGACGCTGTCCATGATGTCGGGGATGGAAGAAAGGTAGCAACACCTTCCATCGAAGTACGAACAAGAGGCGCCATCCACCTCCCACAAGTAACAACTGGAGTGCAAAAAAGATGTCGCAGAAAGAACTGTGGAAAGAAAACATCAGTGTTCTGTATTAAGTGTAATGTTTACCTTTGTCTAATGGGAAACCGAAACTGTTTCTCATCCTTCCACTCAAAGTAGATTCAGTCAAGTTTCGTACGAAATACGGGTCAGCCAGTTTAAAGTTTTATACTACATAAGGCCTATATTTTATTCATATATTATTCTATTTATCTTTTATTATTTCTTATAGTTTACTCCTTTTAGATTGAAACAGTTTATTACTTCAATAGGCCATTTGGTAAAATCGTTTTATCATACTGACTAAACTTTGTGAGTTTTTGTAGCCTATAATTAAAATGTATTATTAAATACTATTTAGATTTTTTTTCCTACCTAATAGCACCTACAAAACAGTTTTCTGTGGTAAAGTTTCTTTATTGTATTTCAGGGCCTTAAGTGGATAGAAACCGTATGTCCTTCTATAAGGACATTAAAAAACCATAGAAACCTAGTGATAATATTTTTTTAATGATTTTTCCACTTAATTATGCTTTAAAGTAAGCAAGGTTACACAGTCAAATCTGAACCAGTAGCAAAAAAAAATCTCAGGATTCTACAGGGGGTACGTTAAAGGTGCTTATAGAAGGACATTAGGCAGTCACCTACAAAACACATTACAATTCACAGGGCTATATCAAGTAAGTAATTGTGTCATTGTATAAGGCGGTTGGGTCCCAGGAGGCTATATACGAGTGTAATATAAGAAGATTACCTGAAGCGAAATACGTTCGCAGGGTAATATACAACTACAACTCAAGAACAAAGGCAACAGTAATATGGTAATAACTACTTTAATATGGTACAGTACAGTTCCAAGAAAATCTATTATGTACCTATTTGTTTTGAAATAATGAACTCATTATTTCAGTTACAACTAAATTAAAGTTATTTTTATTATTTATGATGTGATTTTTTTATTTGAATTCAATACACTAAAAATATAATTGGTTGAAGCAGATATAGCGTATAATAACACCACTAGAATTCAGGACATGGGCGAACTAGTGAAAATATTGGGTTGTCGCTGGGGGGTCAAGGTGAGAGGTAGTTTTGGTCTCTAACTGTGGTCTTCTGTAGTTATGTAAGTTATAGAACAGATTTTAGTTTGCTTTTATTTTCAATCAAACGTGTTTTAAACTGTTTGATGTTGTTGAAGTCCATACCAAAGGAACCCTGTCGAATACAATGGTACACACTCAAGCACTGGGGTGAGGAAAGTGCCATGTCGATTTTGTTACGGGTTTGGCCATGTCAAAACGAGGACAGAAAAGGATATTTTATCTTGTTCGCAAGGTAAAATATTTTAATATACTACTACGTCAATATATATTCACACAAAGTGGGTTCCACCTGGCTCTAGTTTAGACTTATTTTTCAATATTTCGAATGTGTGTGGTATACCCCGCAAAAGCTTTAAAACTATGATAGCATGATATTATTCTCCTTTTAATGGACACATTCAGGTGTTTGGTGTGATACACTGCCTTCAGTGCGTCCCTTTCTTGCTTGCGGGAAACATTTAAGTTACCTCTCCTCATGTCATGTCATATAGATGTTTTTCTATTTTTGCAAACTTGTACGAAATTATAAAGGTGTGATAGTTAAAAATATAATGTGTGCAAAGTCGCCTGCCTGCCTATAATCAATAATCCACGTATCGCTTATCAACTGGACACTCCAGAACAAACACAAGTTAATGACGAGAAAAACATCAACTCTGAGCTGCTGTTTTAGTCGAGTCAACACAACAGATTTGCCTACACTATTGTTGTAAGATATAAGAAATGCCTTTGTTTAAGTAGGCTAATCTAAATTAAAACTGAAATATCTCTCGGAGTAGCCTTGGCCACCCTCATGGCAGATAAATTAAACGAGGATTAAAAATGAAAACTCCCTTGTTGATGGGTTCATTACTTTGTTGATCACATTGAATTACTTAAAACGATCAATTGTTGGTAGCAGGTCCATGAGTTCAGTTCGTACCTTGAGTTGTTATGTTCTTGAGCGCTTATGTAATCGTTGCCCCGCTACAAGTTAGGTCATTGGTTAGGTGATTTCTCGCAGACGGAAATCATATCTTACTTAATTTGTAAAAAAAAAACACATTTCTTATCAACCATATACGAACCGAGAAATCTGCGATTTAAACTTCGTCGCAACGCATCCAGTAGTGTCATAGAAATCGTATTTGAAGAATCAATTTTCACTTTTATTGATGTTTGTATAATCTCTACCAAATTCCCTAATATTAAAATAACATTTAAAAAAACATTCGTCTTGTTCAACAAACAAATCAACTGTTAGCCAAGAAAATTTAATTGATTTAAGGGAGTCTTCATTACTTTTCCAATGCAGGGGTAGTAAACAAAATAGGGTTTATGGGGGGTTGAATTAATTTATAAACACATTATAAAAAGTCAATCAATTTCTAAGACCTGCCTTAACATGCTTTTAGTAAAACATTTTTCTATTTCACTCCCTCTAATGTAAACTGATTAAAGAGCTCATTACCTCCACAATCACCACCTCGAGATCCAGGCATTAATCCAAAGGCACTCATCCGAAACACATTGTCGGAGCAGTGCCTGTCCCGACCAAACGCATTCAATCCGAGGAGTGGCTGGCCGTGTACATGCTTTCGGAGTAGTGCTTTTTTCGGAGTACTGTAACGCAATTGTTTGGTCAGTTCTAGCGTCAGTCAGTGTCAGTGTGTGTTACCTGAGGTAGGCCTACACGAGGTTGTGAAAGGCGAGGCTCATGATCCGGCCTCAGCATTGGCCTATTTCGGTCTACAACGCAACGCTACGATTGATGCCTTAACTCAATTATCAGTTCCCTATAAATATGCAAGAAGTGGTTAGTGGAAAATTCGTTTGGTGTTAATTAAGTTTCATATTTACGACCGCTAACAAAATATCATCGTTACCGGGGAAATTACAAAATTTACAAGCGTGGGAGTCAGGTGTGAAGTTGAGTCTTATAATGTAGAGCAATTACCAATAAATCAACTAATCCACACCAAGCGTTAAATTTTTTTGCAGCCAAATGAGAATTTTATATTACTGAAACGTTGTTGTAAGGGTTTAAGTTTTTTTTTTATCCATTTACCAATTTACATACACACACACATAATGATTTAATTGCTGTTAATATTTATTTTGCAATTCAAGGAAACGCATGTACACAAATAGCATTTACTGATTTGGTTGAAATAATATATTTACTACCTATTTTAATTTTTGTTTGAATACATATTGGAATGTAAAAAATCGAGAAAGCCTGGAAATTTGTTATATTTTTTCCCCAAATAAGAACAATCAATTGACATAGTACTGTATTTCTTGATCAATCATTGAAAGAACCGATTTGTTAACTCTGGAAACATAGGGAAGTCATATAACGCTACCAATTAGAAGAAATAGAGGTGTTTTTTTTTTTTAGAATTTACTTTAATTTAATTTATTTTTAAATGGTAAACGTACTGGCGACAATGGGTGGTACCATGCAGACAACATTATCATTGACGAAGATCAACATGGACAACCTAATGCAGGAAACTAAATGCTATAAGGCTATAAGTGGGGAAAATTCATAGAATACACTAAAAACCAGATCTGCTTTTGAAAAATGATAAAATATTACAAGAAATGTTGATATATGCGGATACGATGTGCTTATGTACATTGTGAGTATTTCCATTAGTTACATAATCTTTGATTTGACTATTTTAAACTCATCGGAAGGAATTATGACTTTGGTTTTTAAATAAGTTATTTGTTTTTAACTAACTCCTGTACTTCTTTGCAATTGCTCGATTTCGAGGAACATGTATACTAGTTCTAGCCACTATTGCCAGTGTTGACGCTTGTATTCCAGTTGTATTTTAGCCGTGTGAATATTGTCGTAATAGATAAACCAATATCATTATGGAATATTAGAATTAATAAAACGAAATATCCAAAGTTCCAAGGTAATCTGAACGTAGTGTGTAGTAGGCAAACTCTCCTTCTAGGATCTCAATTACGACCTTTGTTGAGAGAAGGTCACTGACCAAGGTAAAACCATGACCTCTAGAGGTCTGATGCACCGGTATTTGGGTCATAGAGTGCGTCTGGGAAATGTAGCTGACACAATACAACCTCTGCTGTACAGTGTACAAGTCTGATGCACTGGTATATTAGGGTCATAGAGTGCGTCTGGGAAATGTAGCTGACACAAATGACACAATACAACCCCTGCTATACAGTGTACAAGTCTGATGCACTGGTATATTAGGGTCATAGAGTGCGTCTGGGAAATGTAGCTGACGCAATACAACCCCTGCTGTACAGTGTACAAGCCTGATGCACTGGTATATTAGGGTCATAGAGTGCGTCTGGGAAATGTAGCTGACACAAATGACACAATACAACCCCTGCTATACAGTGTACAAGTCTGATGCACTGGTATATTAGGGTCATAGAGTGCGTCTGGGAAATGTAGCTGACACAAATGACACAATACAACCCCTGCTGTACAGTGTACAAGTCTGATGCACCGGTATATTAGGGACATAGAGTGCGTCTGGGAAATGTAGATGACACAAATGACACAATACAACCCCTGCTGTACAGTGTACAAGTCTGATGCACTGGTATATTAGGGTCATAGAGTGCGTCTGGGAAATGTAGCTGACACAAATGACACAATACAACCCCTGCTATACAGTGTACAAGTCTGATGCACTGGTATATTAGGGTCATAGAGTGCGTCTGGGAAATGTAGCTGACACAAATGACACAATACAACCCCTGCTGTACAGTGTACAAGTCTGATGCACTGGTATATTAGGGTCATAGAGTGCGTCTGGGAAATGTAGCTGACACAAATGACACAATACAACCCCTGCTATACAGTGTACAAGTCTGATGCACTGGTATATTAGGGTCATAGAGTGCGTCTGGGAAATGTAGCTGACACAAATGACACAATACAACCCTTGCTGTACAGTGTACAAGTCTGATGCACCGGTATATTAGGGACATAGAGTGCGTCTGGGAAATGTAGCTGACACAAATGACACAATACAACCCCTGCTA